GTTAGACTGGTTACTCATCGAACTAAAGTGAGGAATTACCTAATTCTCAAAAGATGAGTAACCTATGAGAATAATGACGGTAATCCTATGCAACTTTAGTTATCTCAGTAGCGCATATATATTTTTTTATACTAAGTTGTTTATTAGTTTTGAAAAGCGTTATAATACCATTAATATTAATATATGCATCATGGCGATCATACTGTAAAAGCCAATATCTAATATAATAATTTTTTTGTGTCAAAGGTTTACCAAAGGAAGGTTTCAGTCACATGCAGAATGTTTACATGAAACATCTCTTCATCTTTTTACTGGTATATAATTACGTCATTTATCCCAAAGAATCCAAAGTATAATGACATATCGACATATTGTTGAAAAAAGATATCGGAATTTTTTGACATATTTGATTTATAAAATAAGGTTAATATAAAATTTATTCAAGCAACAATCATAGGTTAGGACAGATATCAACGGCTCTATTGGGTAAATTCAAGGTTATTGTGTATCCATCTCATTCAATTTTGTTTATTACAAATATTTGATTATAATAAAATAACATATAAAAAGAAACTCAATCAATGTGTTCAACATATATAAATATATATGGTACACGCCCTTGTACTTCAAATTTTTCGTGTTACAACGAAAATAAAGTCCGAAAAAATCCCCCAAAAAAATTTTGGTTCTTTGGGCAAAGAACATATTCAATGTCCCATATGCCAGAACCACTTTTAACTCGACAAAACTTTCTACCTTCCGCTGAGCGGCTCGGTTCAACTACTGATATGCAATCTTTTGCCCATCATGTACAAACACTATATCAACTCGAAGTACCAAATGCAAACATTTATCTCGCACTTTCAACTGACTTACCTGTATCAAACCTAATAGACACTTTTCATGGCGCTGCTAAAAAAATTGACCTTTGGCTTGAATACGCAAACATTGCTATATTTGCTTTGGAGCTTGACGTCAAAGAAGGAATGAGTGTGAAAAATGTTAGCGAAATGGACGTCTTAATACATAAATTTGCTCCAAACGTCGACTTATTTCAGGAGTTGTCGCAGACTGTATTTGACAATCTGAAGCAACCAACTGATGAGGAAAGACGTAAAGAAATCAAGGATATACTTGATAGAATTCTTACCGATTGGGTTGAGGTAAAAGCCTTTTTCGGAAGGGTTAAGAAAGAAATGTCAGAGTCAAAACAAAGGCGTGAACTATTAGAAACAATGGATCAAATTTTAGTCTCCATTGAAGAGTTAAACACCAATATTTTTGAATACCAAGAACAACGTCATAGTGGTTTAACCGGTAATGACGGTGAAATTTTTTCATTTCCAAGGCTTAGTTCCAGTCCAACCTCACGAAGTAGGACTATAACACCTGCTGCACCTTCAAGCTTCAACAACAACTCCCTTAATGAGTTTAATTCACGTGCTGACGTTGCATTAATGAAGCTTGATTCTCGCTTAGAACCATTGTCAGCACGCATAGAATATTTAAGGTCTCGTTTATCGGCCCCTAATGCCCCATCAGATCCTAATGGAATTTTATCGAGAAAGAATAACATGTTAACAAATAAGTGGGAAGCGTTAAAACAAGAAATGGAATCTCTAAGAGAAGAATGCAAGGAAGATAGATGGTTAACGGTATTTAAACAAGTAACCGGAAAAGCTACTCAAATGATGGATAAACTAGAAAGGGCAGTTAAACAATGTAAGGACTTTATTATAAGAGCCACCAGTAGGTCAGATTCACCTTTAAAATTGTTACAGAACAGGGGAATTTCAATAACACCCTCTTCAAGACATAATCAAAGATCCGCACAATATCAACAACAACCGCAATCACCACAATCTGTATCTATAACGTCAAAAGATTTCCAAAAACTTTATAAAAACTTTGATGCTAAAAGGAAATATTACGTTCCGGCCGTGACCAAAATGCTTACGATGCTTGCCAACGGAATTAATAATCAGATGACAAAAGATTGGGAAGCCATTAAGAAATATAAAGCGATGAAAGAACATTGGAATGTTATTATTGCTGGCGTTACCGAAGTTCAAAGGGAAATGCCAGAATTAGAAGCTGTATTAGACGCATCACTTTTTCCAAGTAACTCCCCCCCTTCATCAATACCTTCATCAATACCTTCATCAATCGCTTCTTCACCTCCAATGTCTCCTAATATGAGACCATCTAGAGGAAAGTACACACCTGAACCTGGTTCACCTCCAAAAGTTCAAAGAGCTTTATCACCATATCGAAGGGTCATCTCTCCAACAGACATGCCATCATCAAGGAATAATGCGAGATCCCCTTCTTTGCGTTCAAAATCTCCTTCACCAAGGGCTTTGAGTCCCTTAGGAGGTGGGGGTCGTTCTTATTTAACTCCAAATGGTCGTAGATCTGTAAGTCCACCACCACTGTCTGATCGTCATCCTTGGAATTCACAATATAATCAATCACCTTATAATTCACCTTATGGACCTTCATACAATAATCATGGTAATCCTTATTATCGTGAACATACATTATCTCCTCAACCGGGAAATGGTCGATCAAAATCTTCTACAAGATCCGAGTCTCCTGTGCTTTCTCCAACAGGCAGACCAATGACACCTGGTGATCGTATGCACCCATCAGCTATTCCACGTCCTGTTACTAGCATGGGATTAGCTTCTAGGTCGAATTCACGAGCGGGCATGAGATCTTTTCTTCCTCAACCAAGTACCCCACAGCCAGGCATGACCTCTTCATTATCTCGTTTAGGTATGGTATCTCCACCTCCGAAACGTCAACAGTTAAGATCACCAACTCCTTCTTCAGTTACAAGTAGCCTATCAAGGCCTTTAACTCCTGAAACCGATGATCGTTCAATGACTCCATTAACTCAAACGTTATCAAAAATGTCAATGGATCATTCCCCATATATACCACTCAAAAGCGATCCTCTTGACGTTGAAGTTGCTAAGGTGGTAAATGCATCCCCATTATCGGTTAAGGTAGAACGTGCTGGAGGCGATAAGTATCATTTTGGAAATGAAGGAGGAGGCCGTGATAGGAAGATTTACCTTTGTCGTTTGATGAAATATGCTTCAAGTAGCAAAGTCATGGTTCGAGTTGGCGGGGGCTGGCAGGATTTGGATATGTTCTTGCTGGATCACAGTCTTATGAGTAGAGATATGAGATATTAAAAAATAACAAAGAAGAAAAAAAAGAGAGGAGAGAATTTTAAAAAAAAATTTAAGCAAGCTAATATGTCCTTTTCTATTTTTTTCTTTTTATGTATAATATTTATTAACTTCGGCTTATTTGGTGCATGTATTTATTTATTAAAGCATACATATAGATAGACTTATATATATGTATTATTGTTGTTGTGTCACAATCCTTATTTTTTGGACCTTTATTAAGAAAAAGATGATTTTTCTTTATCACCTTTATGACATTATTCAGTTTGGTTGTTTTTTTTATCTTGGAATTTTATATTCTTTTGTATATATAGATTTTTTTTAATTGATACCTATTCGTTTTTCAATCTTATTACCTGATATATTATCAACCAATTAGTATAATTTTTTTACTTTTACTTTTTTTTTATTATTTTATATGTGATGTGACACTTTATATAATCTTTGTGATCTTAAACAATAATACATATCTCATTAAAAAAAAAAAAAAATTGTGAAAAATTGAAAAATATGAAAAAGAATTTATTTATTTTTTTTTTGTATTAAAAAGTTTATATAATTAATAATAATAATTACCAATATGTAATTCGTTAATTTGGTTGGGAATTTCATGGATGAGGAGAGTAGATGGGGTTAATATCAAGGAACATGTTCTTTGTCGACGTTACGAATTTTCTGTTCTGCAATAATGGAATACAAGAGGGAAAGATTATAAAATTTTGGTGTTAGATGTTGACAGTTATTAGTCGAGAAATAGATTTGAAAAATGATTTTGAATTCTGTTGTTATGATTATGTTAAGGTTTCAACAATAAATCTATCATATTAAATCAACATGAATATCAACCTCAAACGAATTAGAATTCACGGAAACTTTTATTATCATTTGAGATGAGTTTTATCTTTGTTCTGTTTTCTATATTTATTTACATATTTAAACGTCCATTACGCTTTTAAAAATTTTTCCCCAATTTCAAAAAAAAAAAAAAAAACAATGCAGAAATGACTTTATCATAAAGAGATGTTTTCTGAAAGGTCGTTTATTGAGTATGAGGTACGCGTTAAAACTGAAGAAAAGTTGGTTTTATGAATTTACAGCGCTTTTCGAATGCTATTAAAACTCATGTTCGGATCATATATCTCATAACCTAATTTTAATAGCATACGACCCATATTATCAACAATGTAAACGCTATCAATTTTTTTTCTATATCGTCCAAACAAGTTTGAACGCGTAAATTAAAAAAAATATAAAAAGAATTAAGTAACAATATATTTCTATTTTTTTTTTTTCGATTCGATTTATAACTTAGATTACAAGATGGAAAAACAAATCTATCAAGAAAAAAGAGGACGAAAGTGTAATATTAGAAAATCGGCGTGACATGTGAAATTTACTGATGACAGTCTATGCAGGATACCCTCAAAAAATCGAAACAATTACGCTTGTAATATCTCAATAGTTCATCAGACAAATTAAAAGAATTAAATATGGTATTTAATTTAAATCTGGTGCCTCTATATAACAATTACGATCAATAAAAAATTTTTTTTATAAAAAAATTAAAAAATGACGACGCACGAAGAAATTAAAACTGAATTAAATAAAGCAGATGGAGAGTATAAAGTTGCAAAGAAAAGGTTGGAAAAGGGGAAAGGGGAAAAAGATTAGATAAGTTGAAGAGAAAGTTGGATGAAGAAGAATGGGGCAGAAGAGAAGGTGGGAAGATAGAATAAAAGAGCTGAAGAAGAAAAGGAGAAGTTGGAGACGACGAAGATGAGGTGGGAGAACCAGACAATAAAGTTGCAGGATAAATTAGTTGGATTTACTGGAGAAAAAGGTAATGAACAAATTTCATAAAAAAAAATATACAAAAAATATTTTTCCATTTATTTATTTATTTGAGTAATCATTTTGTATACTGCTTACGATATTCCATGTTTTGCGAGCCTTACTGCGGAAGAATTTTTATTATATACATGCCTTTTTCTCATTATAGTTAAAAAAAAAAAGCAATTAAGATAGGCTATCTCCTGAATGTCTTTACCAAAGGAATGGGCAGGAATTTGGCGCAGTATCGTACACCTGGCAATAAAAAAATCAAAACACTTTTATCCCCGAATTTGTGCTATAGTTTCGAAATTATAATTGGTCAAAAATTCTATAGATACCGAAACAAATAGAAGCAAGCTTTGATTAGTTCTCCAGATACGATAAGGTCGCTACATCAATCATGATGCATCCATTTAGTCGACAACACCAGAGAAAGCAACCCCCCAAAGGATTTACAAGCCGGGTAAATGCTGGTTATGAAAGCCAGAACCTTATTATATCTTTTGAAAAATCTTGAAAGCTATTTATACAATTTCGTCAACAACACCAAAGGAAGCAACCCCCCAATGTACGGTTAGAGTTTCTTTATCTACGCCAAATATATTTCCTTTTCGATCGACCAGTTTTGAACTATAACCGGATGATTTTCCGTGACATCCACATGATTATCGCGTATTTTCTATAAGTAGATAATTTTTCTCAATTCACCCCCTGTGATATGTATGGCCACATGATAACACGGTAAACGCCTTAAAGTTAAGAAAAAGGATCTCTTTATCGCATTGTGAACATTTCCCAAGTTCAGTAAATTCTTTACCATTAACAATTTCGTCTCCAAGATTTTTAAGAATGCTATAAGCAAGTTTCGAAGGTTGGGGAGAGAAAACATCCTACTATTCCTGATCTTTAGGGCCTAAGTACGAGCGAAGTAAAAAATGTATCACTTGTAAATTTCGCAGGAGAAAACATTCCCCGCAATTACGCACCGCATTTCGTCATTTCGTTAATCCTTCTTGTAAATCAATAAAGATGACGAAGGATTATAATGGTTGCCAAAAAATATCTATATCCGAATATTGTTTTGTTAATATAAGATAAACAAATAAATACAAGTACCGTGATACATGCAAAGTCATGAGACTTATTATATTTATATTAATTTTCAATTTATAATATGGGAGCTGATCTATTAAAAGTGGGTTACGAGACATAGTAAATCATATGATCCGTACCTCAATTTTAATAGAATACTACCCATATATTGAAAGCTGGTGGATCGTTTACTGTATTGCCAAAAATTGATGATACTTTATTAAAATGGCACTAATTTACAATACAGCCCAGAATATATGGCAATATTTCTACATTTATCACCATCCTTCTCTCGGAATCTTAAATGAATTTCTTCTTGTTAATTGTGTGGTAATCCAAAACATCATACCTGGATACTTACGCTCAAACAAAGATTTTGCATCTTCCAATTGCTTTTTTTTTTAAAAATACAAAAGAGCGGTCGTGTCATCCACCCAATGCCATCTACCAAATAATCCCAATTCACAAAAGCATGCCATCAGCGTTTCATTTCTATAATGCCAATTCTTAATAATATTACCACTGATCTCAAGAGTATATTTATTATGTGTGGAATCAGGTCCTGTGATATATGTAAAAGACTCGTAGTAATTATCCAACGGTACATAAGACGAAATATTTCTAAGTTCACTAGACATTCCTGTGGAAAAATACGGCAAAT